GGTAGTGCCTCATAGCATTGTTGTCATATGGTAGAAGAACTCATCTATTTCTTTGGAGTCTTTTTCAAAGAGCACTGATGCAGTCATGACAGTCCTGCACTCATGAACTAACTGCTTCTCAAAGTCCCGTCTCTTAATATTACCACCTTAGGGACCCCGGTTATTTCTTTTTTAAATTTTTTTCTTATTTATTCAGAGGTAGAATTACAGACAGAGTGAGAGGGAGACAGAGAAAGGTCTTCTATCCACTGGTTCACTCCCCAGATGGCTGCAATGGCCAGAGCTGAGCTGAGCCAAAGCCAGTAGCCTCTTCCGGGTCTCCCACTTGGGTACAGAGGCCCAAGCACTTGGGCCATCTTCTACTGCTTTCCCAGGCCATTTATAGAGAGCGAGATCTGAAGAGGAGCAGCTGGGACATAAACCAGCACCCATATGTAATGTCGGCACCACAGGTGGAGGCCTGATCTGCTATGCCACAGTGCTGGCCCCAGGACTATAGTTTTAATGTATAAATACTGTGAGGCATGAACATTCAGGCCATACCCAATCTTTGCTATTTCTTGATGCTGGTGGACCAAATTAACTTTATGACAACTCTGGGTAGATCATATGCCATTGGGTGTGTTGAAAGAGCTTACAGTCTTAGAATGAACCTGAGCATAAATCTCATTCCAGACAATGACCCTGGAGACCCTATCTATCATAATGTATATATTCAGACCCAATGGTTGTTGGAACTTGCTCAAAAACAATGTGATTTGTCCTTGTAAGTTTCACCCTGACCCCTAATTTAATCATGGTGAGGATTCAGGTGATTCTCAACTAAAACTATCTTAATGATTTAATTGGTGTAATTGAAGGACCTAAACTGATTATTCTATGCAGACCTACACAGCTTTTTTATTAAATCATGAAATTCAAATCAGATCTTTGTAACGGACTTCTTCATTGCCTAGGACTTGAATTTTGCAATACCTGAAAAGTGTAACACAACTTTTTTTCAAACCTTTGCTACTTTGTGGTTTATATGTTTTATTAGAAAAATACATGTTTCTATTAAAAAAACATGCTTCTTCTCTGTATGAGTAAAGGTAATTTGAAGGTTGATAGAGAGGTGCTGGAATTTTATGGGTTACAGCACTATTAACTATAGTCATTACAAATGTATACATCCTCAGACAGGGGTTGATTTCCTTTGCAAGTACATGCTTGAGTAATCTCATTCAGATACAGGCAAGAATTGATGCAATTCTTCATTTTCCCGTTAGTAATCATACATTCATCATGAGCTCCAATTAATGTCTGTAAGACTGGTGACAAAGTCGTCTGCTACATTGGTACTGTGTTCACAGTTTGATAAACAGCACAAATGGAGTATGGTTGCTTGCATTTTTCAAATTGATCTCCTGACATATTTTGCTTTTTCTTTTCCTTATTAGATGAAGTGGATATTTCAAAGATATACAATTTTAGACAATGATCTTCATAATTCACTTTAGATTTGTCCTTCAAAATGAATTTTCTAATATTGGATTGGGGGAAATGTGATATTTTTCTTTGCACTCATGTACTTTCATGAAAATTAATAAAAAACTTCTGTTTGAAGAATCACTGAAAAGATAATTTATGATTGCCCCATTTGTGACCTTTAGGCTTGATAGCTATATTCTGTCATTTCCTATGGTAGTGTTTTGTTTCACCTTTGTTGGTACTGTTTTTTTTTTCTTCTTGCCATTGCATATAGCAGTGACCCTCTGTATCCAAGGGTTCCATAACAGCAGTTTCAACCAGCCATAACTCAAATTATTTCAAATAAAATAGTCTTTACTAAATATGTAGCCTTATTTCTCATTTTCTACCAGATAATCTGTATAGTCATTAAATATTAGGAATTGGTAACCTAGAGATTTAAAGTATATGGATGATGAAGGATTAGAGCTTTCATGTACTTTGGTATCTTCAGGGAGTCCTAGATAACATGTGCTTTATAGATTTTAAATGTGCATATTTTATTAACAAGTATTACCTGACAGCCTTCCTGTGTAGGAAGCAAACAGGCATGTCTGCCAAACATAGATGAATAACATTTTTGGACATTTTATCTGATTCAAATATGTATTTAGTTGCATAATGTGTACATATAGCCACATAAACATATATACTGTTGACTGTGGCATAATGCATGACATATAGTAGGCAATTTATAAATGTTCAGTTCATTAAAATTGATTCAATGTGTTCTCCCATTGACTGATTGGTCTTTTGATCATCTTATTGGTATCAATGATAAAAAATACTTAATTTAAATACAACCCTGGTGAGGGATTATTCTGTACTACTGAATAAATGTTCTAACCCCACATCATGAAGATAATGTTCTATTACATAAGCTTTATTGTTTTACCATCTATACTCTAGGTAAAATCCACTTGGTCTTATTTTTAGATATAAAATATGGGTGAAGGGTAACTTTATCACTGTGACTACCTAATTTATTTGGTTCATTTACTGAAAATATTGATGTTTCAGAGCAATGAGTGGAAGGACAAACTATTATGTCCAAATGGGTATCTGTTTAAGGAGTGTTTCCTACAGTTTTCTAGGCTATTGGTTCTTTTTCTAGTACTGCTTTGTATTGACGTCCGAGCCCTCTCAAGTACTTGTAACAAATACCATAATCTGCATGGCTCATAACACACAGTGATTTATGACTGTTGTGGTTGCTGGGAAGTCCAAGTTTAAGGTGCTGGCATATACAGTGTCTGATGAGGGCTGGTTTCCTGGGTCTTAGTGGATCCTCACGTTGTATAAGGGGCTAGCTAGCTCTCTGGGGTCTCTTTTTAAGGAGTGCTAACCCCATTAAGATATGCCCTACTTCTTAATACCATCAACATGGTCTTTAGGATTATCCCATATGATTTTGGACCATAGCATTTTGTTGCTATACCTTTAACGGGAGTTTTGATACCTGATTAAGTCCTCTAATTTAATTGACTATTCCTGACTCCTTGTACATCAACATAAAATTTAGGATTAATTTACTAATTTCTGAAAAAAATCTGCTGGAAGTGTATTGGGATTTAATTATGCTTTCAAATCAATTTAAGAAGTGATACCTTTAAAACATTGAGTGCTGGTGCTGGCGCTGTGGTGCAGCAGGTAAAGCCACTGCCTCCAGTGCCGGCATCCCATATGTGCGTTGGTTAGAGTCCTGGCTGCTCCACTTCCCATCCTGCTCTCTGCCATGGCCTGGGAAAGCAGTGTAAGATGGCCCAAGTCCTTGGGCCCCTGCACCCACGTGGGAGACCCGGAAGAGGCTCCTGGCTCCTGGCTTCGGGTCAGCACAGCTAAGCCCATTGTGGCCAATTGGGGAGTGAACCAGCAAATGGGACCTCCTTCTCTCTCTGCCTCTCCTTCTTTCTCTGTAACTCTTGAAAATAAATCTTAAAAAAATCAGTGCTATAATTCACATATGTGGGGTTGTGATGGGGTCATATGGTCCTCGCTCAAGAGAGCTGATTAGGCAAAACTTTCCCAAGTTCCATTCCCAGTGGGAGGCAGAGTTGAAGTTCGGTAGAGATCTATGTGGAACATTGAATATTATTGTATCCTGCGGCTGGTGCTGTGCTGTAGCAGGTAAAGCCACTGCCTGCAGTGCTAGCATTCCTATGGGAGCCAGTTCGAATTTCAGCTGCTCCACTTTCGAAACAGAGGATGGCCCAAGTGCCTGGGCTCCTGCACCCTCTTGGGAGACCTGGATGAAGCTCCTAGCTTAGAATACTGTTTCTCTAAGTGATGTGTGAAGAATACATAGTAAACAGAAGTGGGAATTTCAGTTAGGAGACTGACTATGCAAGAAGTGACAAAAGTTTGACTTAAAGGGGTGAGTAGCATTAAAATTGAGAGGGGTAGACCCTTCCAATCTATAGTTGAGAACCAAAACCAAAGTTCATTGAAGCCATTTAAATATATGGATATAATTTTGATAAAATAAAAAATTATAATCATGACCAATGCTGAGTCACAGATTAAACAATTTATAGAAATACAAAAATGTACATATTCTTTCTTTCTGATTGTTGTAACTTCTAATTCTATACTCCTGAATATGTAAGTTTTGTTTTTGGCATCCTTGGAATACTAGATATTAAGCATAAAGAAACAAAATTGGAAGGGTTTGTTTATTGAGTCATAATTTGGACAAATTCATATAATAATCTTGCCTCTTAAGAAGTATATTAACTCATATCCTTGGTAGTATGCAATGCAGTGAAGATCTTTTCATTAGCAAGATCTAATGACTTGGTATAAAATATAACTAAAATTTATTTAGTACTTCCATAAAATGGACCAGGTAAGTTAGAAAGGTGCAACCAATTAATAAGAGTGCTCAAATTGTCAGTTCTTTATTGACTACTTCAAAAACCTGTGTATGGCATGGCATGACTTCAGTGTTTTATAATCTCAGAGTTGCCAAATTAAAGCATAGAGTTTCCACTTATGCAAGAGTACACTGTTGTATATTTCTATCATTACTTTTCCATCTCAATTTGTACACACATTTCAAAGTTACCTACAAATTTGTTAAGCTGTGTTGAAGTGGAGCTGAAATAAATTAATACAGGGGAATAAATTTGATTAGCATTTCATGCTTCTCAGTTGAATTCAGAGTTGGTTTTGTTTTTCATCATATGCCTATAAAATCCAGTGGTCTGTAGCCTCATTTTACGCACATTAAAATAGTCTCTCAGAGCTGACCAGAGTACTTGAAATATCATTGTATAAAAAAGTTATTATAGATTTGGTTAGTATAGCTGTGACCATTATTTATACATATAGTACCAGTTGATATAAGGACTGAATTAAAATTGAGTTATTGCTAATGAAGGTTATGGGACATAATTATGCCTTAAGATACACTTTCAGGAAAATTCATAGAGCCATAAGATTTGATCAGTCATAAACTGTTTATTTTTTAATTCAATAAACACTTTCCCCAGAAATAGCACCAGAGGATGGTACCTATTTGCTGACAGCTCAAATGGGAAATTTGGTGATGTGGCTGACATCCTCACTCCTGTTATTTCACTCACGGGACCAACATGTACCTTGGTGTTCTGGACTCACATGAATGGTGCCACAGTTGGCTCTCTACAGGTATGGCTTAGACAATAGAATTTTTTGATTTCTCTGACAATTCATCATCTAGTATTTGTTTGTTAATAAATTAAAATGGATAATTAGTTCACTGATACCACAATGGTATTGCTGAAGTAGTAAAAATGCAGGTGAATGGCTATTAGTACTCATGTTTTCCTATTTACAACTACAGCCTTTATTATGAGTTTATAGTTTCTGTGCAATTATATTGCATATTAGTGACTTAGATTTCATTATCAGTGTTCTATGTATAAAATAATCCAGTATATATACACTTCTATTTGGATATGTGTTATTGCTGTCTTTGGTTGTAGCATGGTATTCTCTACCCTTTTCAAATACCTTCTTTGATTAAAAAACCAAAATGAATAAAACTATTTGAAACTCACAAACCATTGCTGTAATGGTACAAAAAACTCCAGCATCCCCTCATTCAGAGATGATAATTTCTTGTCAATGATCCCAGTAATGAGGCTTGTAGCCAAAGCACCAAATACAGGATCAGATATGATTCTTTGTAGTAGAATAAAAGTAGAATAATTAGAATTTGGCACTTTAAGTATTTATGGGAAAATGTTTTTTTTGACTGTCCCCCAAGCTGAATTTGTTCCACGTTCAAAAATGTTTTTTGCTATAATATCACCAATGTAGAATTCTTTTTATTCTATCAGTCCCATTATTTTCTTCCCTTCATTACCAATAAAAACATCGTGAAGATAAATTTTCAGGTATGTGAATCCTATCTCGACTCAATTTTACTAGCAATCTTTTGCCTCCCAGCATTTGAATTAATTTTACTATCATGATTGCCTTATTGTGATTTTCTAACTCCATTATTCTATTTGTAGAATGAAATAATGAATAATACATAGAATATATAATACTAGAATAACTATATAATAGGGTATATAATAGAATAAGAGTAACTCCATTATTGTATCGTGCTGTAAAGCAAGTCATCCTCCTTTGTTTACCTACTGTTTTGTCAGTGTATATTTATAAGTTAATACTTTATTCAGTGTACTATGATCTATTACTATTGTTTGATCCTCAACTTGTCTCATATTTGGTCATTTAAATTATCCTTTAAAAATGACCTATATTTATTTAACAGTCCCTATCATTCTTTGAGTCATTTCTTCCTTTCTTGCTAAGATGTTCCAAACATTATTTGTCACATCTCCAGAATTAATCAGAAATAATGATTCCAGTCTTCTCCTGGAAGACCAATTTCTGAAATAATAATGTAAATTCCTGAGTATTTTCTTCCATATCAGGCCCTGGTTCAAAATAACACACTTTTTAAAATATAGTTATTTGAGAGGCAGAGTTACACAGAGTAAGAGAGGGAGAGGAAGAGAGATCTTCCATCTGCTGTGAACCAGATCAGAAGTGGAGCAACCAGGAGAAGAGCATGTGCCCAGATGAGATGCCAACATTGCAGGTGGTGGCTTAACATGCTATGCCACAATTCCAGCCCCATGCACAGAAGATTCTTAAATAATACATGAAGACACATTACTGATAAGAAGCCTTATCTAAAAATCCCTAAATTCCAGGGTATTTGATTGTTTTTGTAGCTATTGTGAATGGGATTGATCTTAGAAGTTCTTTCTCAGCCATGGCATTGCCTGTGTATACAAAGGCCATTGATTTTTTTGCATTGATTTTATATCCTGCTACTTTGCCAAAATCTTCTATGAGTTCCAATAGTCTCTTAGTAGAGTTCTTTGGGTCCCCTAAATAAAGAATCATATCATCTGCAAAGAGGGATAGTTTGAGTTCTTCCTTCCTAATTTGTATCCCTTTAATTTCCTTTTCTTGCCTGATAGCTCTGGCTAGAACTTCTAGAACTATATTGAATAGCAGTGGTGAGAGTGGGCATCCCTGTCTGGTCCCAGATCTCAGTGGAAATGCTTCCAACTTTTCCCCATTCAATAGGATGTTGGCTGTGGGTTTTTCATAGATTGCTTTGATTGTATTGAGGAATGTTCCTTCTATACCCAGTTTGCTTAGAGTTTTCATCATGAAAGGGTGTTGTATTTTATCAAATGCTTTCTCGGCGTCTATTGAGATAATCATATGGTTTTTTTCTTCTGCAGTCTGTTAATGTGTTGTATCACATTGATTGTTTTGCGCACATTAAACCATCCCTGCATACCAGGGATAAATCCCACTTGGTCTGGGTGGATGATCTTTCTGATGTGTTGTTGCATTCTATTGGCGAGAATTTTATTGAGGATTTTTTCATCTATGTTCTTCAGGGATATTGGTCTGTAATTCTCTTTCAAGGCTGCATCTTTTTCCGGCTTAAGAATTAAGGTGATGCTGGCTTCATAGAAAGAATTTGGGAGGACTCCCTCTTTTTGATTGTTCTGAATAGTTTGAGCAGAATTGGAGTTAGTTCTTCTTTAAATGTCTGGTAGAATTCAGCAGTGAATCCATCTGGTCCTGAGCTTTTCTTTGTTGGGAGGGCCTTTATTACTGTTTCAATTTCTGTCTCAGTGATGGGTCTGTTTAGGTTTTCTATATCTTCATGGTTCAATTTAGGTAGGTTGCATGTGTCCAGGAATCTAGCCATTTCTAATATATTTCCCTGTTTGCTGGCATACAAGTCCTTGTAGTAATTTCTGATGATTCTTTTTATTTCTGTGGTGTCTGTTGTTACATTTCCTTTTTCATCTCTGATTTTATTGATTTGAGTCTTTTTTTTTTAGTTAGTTGGGCCAACGGGGTGTCAATTTTGTTTAATTTTTCAAAAAACCATCTCTTTTTTGGTTGATTTTTTATAATTTTTTTTGGATTCAATCCTGTTGATTTCTTCTCTGATTTTAATTATTTCTCTTCTCCTACTAGATTTGGAAATGGTTTGCTGCAGTTTTTCTAGATCCTTGAGATACACTGGAAGCTCATTTATTTTGGTGTCTTTCCAATTTCTTGATGTAGGCACCTATTGCTATATACTTTCCTCTTAACACTGCTTTTGCTATATCCCATAAGTTTTGATATGTTGTGCTGTTATCCTCATTTACTTCCAGAAAGTTCTTGATTTCTCTTTTGATTTATTGTATGACCCAATGTTCATTCAGGAGCATGTTGTTCAGTCTCCATGTGTTGCTAATTTCCAACCTCATTCCACTGTGGTCTGAGAAGCTGCATGGTGTGATTCTAATTCTTTTGAATTTGCTGAGACTTGCTTTATGGCCTAGTATGTGGTCAGTCCAAGAGTAGGTTTCATGCACTGCTGAGAAGAATGTAAATTCTTTAAAAATATGGAATACTTCACGAAAGATCTCTACGATGAGAATTACAAAATCTTAAAGAAAGAAATAGAAGAGGATACCAAAAAATAGAAAAATCTTCCATGATCATGGAATGGAAGAATCAATATCATCAAAATGTACATTCTCCCAAAAGCAATTTATAGATTCAATGCAATACCAATCAAAATACCAAAGACATTCTTCTCAGATCTGGAAAAAATGATGCTGAAATTCATATGGAGACTCAGGAGACCTCAAATAGCTAAAGCAATCTTGTACAACTGAAACAAAGCCAGAGGCATCACAATACCAGATTTCAGGACATACTACAGGGCAGTTGTAATCAAAACAGCATGGTACTGGTACAGAAACAGATGGATAGACCAATGGAACAGAATAGAAACACCAGAAATCAATCCAAACATCTACAGCCTACTTATATTTGATCAAGGATCTAAAACCAATTCCTGGAGTAAGGACAGTCTATTCAACAAATGGTGCTGGGAAAACTGGATTTCCATGTGCAGAAGCATGAAGCAAGACCCCTACCTTTCACCTTACACAAAAATCCACTCAACATGGATTAAAGACCTAAATTTATGACCACATACCATCACGTTATTAGAGAACACTGGAGAAACCCTGTAAGATATAGGTACCAGCAAAGACATCTTGGAAAAGACTCCGGAAGGACAGGAGGTCAAAGCCAAACTTAACAATTGGGATTACATCAAATTGATAAGTTTCTGTACTGCAAAAAAAAAAAAAAAAAAAGCCAGGAAAGTGAAGAGGTAAACAACAGAATGAGAAAAAATATTTGCAAACTATGCAACTGATAAAGGATTAATAACCAGAATCTATGAAGAGATCAAGAAACTCCATAAAAACAAAACAAACAACCCACTTAAGATATGGGCCAAGGACCTCAATAGACAATTTTCAAAAGAGGAAATCCAAAAGGCCAATAGACACATGAAAAAATGTTCAGGATCACTAGCAGTCTGGGAAACGCAAAACAAAACCACAATGAGGTTTCACCTAACCTGGGTTAGAGTGGCTTACATACAGAAATATACCAATAACAGATGCTGGTGAGGATGTGGGGAAAAAGGGACACTAACCCACTGTTGGTGGGAATGCAAACTGGTCAAGTCACTGTGGAAGTCAGTCTGGAGATTCCTTAGGAACCTGAATATAACTCTACCATTCAACCCAGCCATCCCACTCCTTGGAATTTACCCAAAGGAAATGAAATTGGCAAACAAAAAAGCGGTGTGCACATTAATGTTTATTGCAGCTCAATTCACAATAGCTAAGAGCTGGAATCAACCTAAATGCCTATCAACAGTATACTGGATAAAGAAATTATGGGACATGTACTCTGTAGAATACTACACAGAAAAAAAAAAATGAAATCCAGTCATTTGCAACAAAATGGAGGAATCTGGAACACATCATGCTGATGGAAATAAGCCAGTCCCAAAGGGACAAATATCATAAGTTCTCCCTGATTGGTGGCAACTAACTGTGCACCAAAAAGGAAACCTGTTGAAGTGAAATGGACACTATGAGACACAGTGACTTGATTGGCCCTTGTCCTGACTGTTGATGTACAACTTAATACTTTATCCCTTTCAGTATTTTGTTTTTGTTCTACTTAATACTATTGGTTGAGCTCTGTAATTAACACACAATTATTCTTAGGTGTTTAAATTTAACTGAAAATTGATCTGT